TATTATCATTTTGTTTGTATTAATTAATATATTATATTATTAGAGATTTGTTTTAATTATATTTTAAACATTATAATTGATTAAAATTTTAAGATGTTATTTTTGGTCATTTTACATTTTTGTCAATTACTTTTTACCAAACATGATTTATTTATGAGCTAGTTTATCAACTACAAGCTGACTTATATAGTGGTTAGCCAAACATAGCCTAAACCTCCATCTATGGGGGTGCTTGAGATTGCTTATAAAAATAACTTATTGACTTATTCCGGCGTGGTACCGGTAACAAATATTTTTGAGTATTTGGATAAACAACTTATACCGGTGCCAAACCGGTAATAAAAAGTTTTTGAAGAAGTTAAATCGTTTTGACTTATAATAAGTTGATAAGTGCTTTTGTAGAAAAATATAACTATAACGAATATATATATATATATATATATATAAAATTTAAATTTGTTATTAATGTAATATATTCACATCATATAACATTTATATTATATAAAAAATATAAAAAAAACTGTCCGTTTTTGTCACTTTTCACTTAAACCCTGCGGAAATTGTTCCCAGAGCTCCTATAAATTGCTGCAAAACCCCCCTTTCTGATTTTCAGCAGAGAGCAAGCTTCTTCTCCTTAGTTGTAAAAGACAACAATGGAGTTGGGTTTCTTCCTAGATTTTCTTTAAATTTTGCCACCCTTACTTCTTTCTTTCAAACCATCGTTAGTGTTATTGAAAAATTTGGGGTTTTCACATCAAATACAAGATCATTGCTGATGGATTGATGGGTAGGTTTCTTAATTTTCTTCATTTCAAAGACTTCATTGCTGTTTTAATTCTAATATTTAATTGGAGTTCCTGGTTTTTCAATTGATTTCGTAAAGCTGGTTTAGTTGAATTCATGTACCACCATGTGTTTGATTAATTTACTCAATGAAGATCTCTTGTTAAATTTTCTTTCTTCTTGGATTAATCGATTTGGGTGTTTTTTCTATCGAGTTTCAGGCCCCTTTTGGTGTGGGTTTACCAGATAGAGAGTTGATTAAAAGTAAGTATGCTTTTTATTCATGAAATCTCTTCTGCCATTTTTCTGAATCAATGTGAATGCGTACCACATAGCATTGATCATAATGTTATAACATGACCTTTTCTTGCGTTACTTTATTTCATATGATTATAATTTGTATGAAATTTGAATGTATATGAGGATGATTTGGCAAGAATCATGATTCATGGGTGTATATCTTGTAGAGGGTTCCTTTTATTTCAATTTCTCAGGTTACTTTGATTCTTTTTTCGAAATTGATTATTGTTATCTTGTCTTGTTCTTAATTTCATGTCTGATTGGGGATTAATGAGGCAAGTAAATAAGGATCGTCTTGTTAGAAATTTGAATTTATATGAATTTTGATTTGGGAATTTGGAAGGATAATAATTGATTAGTGTATATCTTGTTGAGAGTTTGTGTATTGTGTTCTTCCTTTTGAATGACTTCTTTTTCATTTCAATTTCTCTGGTTAGTTTGATTCTTTTTTTAGTATTATTATTAATAAAGAATTGTTCTTAGTTTCATGTTTGATTGGGGGTTATAGAGGCATGTAACCCCCCCCCCTTTCAAATCACATCTATTATAGGGTATTTTTTTGGGGGGGGGGGGGTTATTTTTTTGGAAGGGTGTCCCCGGCTATGCCCAAACTAATCCCGGGGCAAATTGGGACTGTAAGACATCAACCCTGATAAACTCAGTGGGCACAATTGTTGTGGACGCCTGAAATTGAACCTAGGGCAGATGGGATATTCCACCACATCTCCCTGGGCCTCAATCACTACGCTACAACCCTTGTGGTTGGGGGGGATTTTGATGGGGATGCTAGCAATAAAGTTATAAAGAAAACCACAAGGGTTGCGGCGTAGTGGTTGAGGTCCTGGGGGATGTGATGGAATATCCCATCTGCTCAAGGTTCGATTCCAGGTGTACACAACAATTGCGGCTACTGAGTTTAGCCTCTACTGATTTTTTGCGCTCACAATTTGCCGGGATTAGTCTAGGCATAGCCTGGGATACCCTACCAAAAAAAGTTATAAAGAAATTAACCCAATTATTTAAACATGAATTCCCCCTAATTTCCCTGAAATTTTCTCATCATTTCTAACAAGAATGTTTGAATATGAAGGTTTTCAAGAAAAGATCATGGCTGAAATGAAGGCTAAACTCAATTGGCCCGAAGAGGAGGATGGAGAATTGGATTCCGATTATGATTGGGATTGTTCAAGTGTGTCGGGTCTCAGAAAACTTATGACAGACGGCTTACATTCATGTTTTGGTAACGCTGTAAAGAAAATTGTTGAAAATGGGTACCCCGAGCAGGTTGCTGAGTTCGTGGTTTTAAAATCGGGTCCTTTCTTTGGTTCCAAAGACATGGTGTCTGTGATTGTGGATCGTGCTTTAAATAGTCTCCGAACCAAGGGCTGTCATGATTCAAAGTTTTATATATTTGAAGAATTACACACCTTGGTGGAGTTCATGATATTGGAGATGGTAACTATGCTTCGAGAAGTTAAGCCATTTCTATCTGTTCGTGAGGCATTGTGGACTCTTTTGATCTGTGATCTGAATGTAATTCATGCGAGTGAGGCTGAATTGGATCCAATGAAGTTTTTCATAGATAGTGTGAAGGCTGCTCATGAAATCGAAACCTCATCTGATTCAGAGTCTCAAAATCAAGAAATTTTAGCCTCGAATGTCGAGAAACAAGATATGGTCGTCAAATCTTTGAAGAGCAGTCCTAAAAGTTCAAAATCCGGGAAAAGAATTGAAGACAAATGTCCAAGTTGTAGAAAATGGTGCTCGGGGAATAGTCACAAAAAAGACGCGGTTCGAGAGAAGATGTTCCGTTTTGAAAAGCCTTATAAGGGAAGAATGTCGAAGAAGGCCCTAAAGGAAAAACTTGCAGCCTGGGGTGATTTGGTTTCCGACAAGAAACACCCGTCTTGCGAATCTTCTTCTGGAACCAAGAAAACCCCGACTTTGGCTTTGAAAGAAACCGAAGAAACTGCAAAAGCTACACCAAAGCCTGAACCAGTAGCCCCAGTGGCTGCACCAGAACCGACTAAAACTGTGCAACACTATTTGGCGAGTATCCCATATGATGAATCAAAGGGTGAACATGTTCCTAGAGATGTTAAGGATAAAATTCTGTTGGCTGCAGTTGATCAAGTTCTAGCGCTGCATAAAGAACTTCGAGACTGGGATGATTGGGCCAATTTGAAGGTTATGCAGGTAGCCAAACGGCTTAGCCAAGATCGGGCGGAGCTTAATAAGTTGAGGGCAGAAAAGGAAGAAGCTGAGAAGATGATGAAAGATAAGCAGGTTGCGGAGGAGAATAACATGAGAAAGCTATCGGAAATGACTACTGCTCTGAATAACGCCAATTACCAGATTGAGATGGCAAGTTCAGCTGTCGTAAGGCTCAAGTCTGAAAAAATCATCCTAAAGAAGGAGATGGAAGCAGCAAGAATTCGAAGCTCGATTGAAGCTAAAAGATTGGAGGCGGCTTTGCAGAAAGAGCAGGAAGCTTATAAGAAGTCTCAGTCTTTTGGGACCGAAAAGAGCTTATTGGAGGAAGAACTTAAAGCACTAAAACATGAGGTGGTTCCAATTCAACGGAGCGCAGAGAAAGCTAAAGATCTTCTTTCACAGACCCAGGTACCCGCTTATCTTTTTTCGCTTAACTAACAAGTGGGTTTCTCTAAATTTTACTAATTTAACTAAAAAACTTCAGATTCGATTAGCAAATGAGGAAAAGGAGACTGCTAAAGTTGTTTTGAAATACGAATCGTTGAAGAGGGAAAGAGAACTTATCGAAGAAATGGCGAAATCCGAGGAGGAAATGGTTGTAGAAAAGGCAGAAAAGAAGCTCCAAAAGTTTGAGAACGAAATGAAGAGAATCCAATATGAGATATCTGCAATGAAGCTAGAGCAAGAAACCAAGAAAATTGCAGCAATGCGAACGGGAATGAACTGGCCGGTTTTTGAAGGGTCTAAAAGCTCAGAAATCTTGAGAAACAACAATAAAAATGGAAATTTGAGGCAGAAGAAGGACAGGGAATGTGTGATGTGTTTAACAGAAGAGATGACAGTGGTTCTTGTTCCTTGTGGGCATCAAGTTCTTTGTGCTGATTGCAATGTGATCCATGAACAGAATGGAATGAAGGATTGCCCTTCTTGCAGGACTCCAATTCAGAAAAGGATCAATGCCCGTTTCGCCAAATCTTAAAGAATTCCGTTTCCGATTTCTGATTCCTGGTTTCGGAGGTTTGATGATTCCGTTTTTCGTGTCGGTTTGTTGTTGTTGTTGTTGGATTTGGGGGGGCAAATAGTATGTTTGAGTTAGTTTTTATTTTGAATGCAAAGAATAATGGCAGTTAGCATATTTGAGATTAAAGAAACAGATGGGGTTTAGGGTATAGTGAAGGTGGTCAAGTAGTGGTCTCTTTGGATAGTCAACAATAAAATGTAAATTGAGGAATTTGGTCCTTTGAATGAAGTTATTGTATATTGCCCCCAAGCTTTTGACTATGTTTTCATTTTTATGCCACCCAAAATCATGTATGTGATTGAAAAGTGTTGTGTTTGTGGTATTTCAGTATATTTTCAACAGATTTTTTATAATTCCTGTAAAATAGAAAATTAAAAATTAAAATCTCTATAAATTGTTAATTTCGCCCCTGTGTTGAAACCGTGATTTTCTACCCTTACAGTTTATTATTGTTGTTATTGTTTTTTTCGTTCTTCATACTTGAAGTTAGCTTCAGGTAGAGATGGCCAAATGGGCCCGGCCCGGCCCGTAACCGACGGAGGACCGGGACCGGGACCGGAGAGGGACCGGGACTGACCGGGACCGGTAGGGACCGGTTGAGGGACCGCCGGTTATGATCCGGTTAGGGTTTTTGACGTTTTTTGGGACCGGGACCGGTTAAGACCATAAGGGACGAAAATAACAATAAATTACAAATTATAGGTACTAAAGTTGCAATTTTAACAAACCACAAGGGACGAAGAATGTAATTTACTCTTAATCATATTTAAAAAATATTAAATAATAATAATAATTAATCATTGATTGAAATATATAAATAAAAATCATTTCTGAGAACATAAATATGGAATTTGTTGGAATAAAATAGAGAATAAAATCTAAATTTTTTCTAATTTAAATAATTTGTTGAAAATGTTTTCAAAATCTGTATACGAGAAATTTTTAGGGCTTTTTACATAAAATCAATTTTTTTTATTAACCTGGATATCCAATCTACTATGCGAGCCAACTAATCCTAGGGCGATCACCTGTTTTGCGGGTAGTCCGGAGTCACCGCATTTGAACCTTCGTAGCCACAAGAGAATTTTTATTACTCTTTAGATTTGAACTTGAGACCTCCAAACACTTTGATCTTTGGAGCCCAAGCTCAAACCAATAAGGTACCATCCTGGTTTTAAAAAAATACATATTTTATGCATTACTTTAATCGGTTCGATTTTTAAATTAGGGAAATTGACTAAAATACGCATTTGCCTAAACCACATTTTTTCAATAATAAGAAGAAGAAAAAATGGACATTTACGTAAAAAAACACATTTTACGTAATATATATATATATATATATATATATATATATATATATATACGTTTTTACATAAAGAATAGTTATTATTGTATTGAAAATATGATTAAAAAACGAATGATAATAAGAATTAATACTATTTTAATCAATTACCCTTTAAATTATTTACATGAAATCACCGACTATATTGTCGATCTTTTTTAACGGTATTCTTATAATATAGCGAGATATATCTCGATTTTATTGTTTTATTTTATTTGTTGGCTATTAATATAATACAGTTTTATGTAGTTTTGAGAAAGTGATAATATTTTTATTTTTTAAATAAAATATAAATTTGAAAATATTTTAATTAAAATTTTGAAAGAAAAAAATATATCGATGTTGATATCAAATTAATTATTTGAAAGTTCTTATTTTTTGTGTAATTTTCTTGATTCAATTTTTTTTATTATAATTTAATTTAGGTTTAATATTGAATCAATTTATTTTTTGGTTTAATAATATAACTTTTCATAAAGATAATAATTAAGTATTCTATTAGTTTAATAACGAATCAATTTATTTTTTATTTAATAATATAACTTTTTATAAAGATAATAATTAAGTATTTTGTTAGAACTCAATGATTATCCTAATTATATTTTAGATTTTTTATATTTAAAATGTGATGTTTATCTTGTATATGATTATGTTTAACTGCAGTTAGTTACATAAATTCANTCGATGTTATAATACGGTTTTATGTGGTTTTGAGAAAACAATAATGTTTTTATTTTTGTATAAAATATAAATATGAATAAATCATAAAATAAAAAAAATACTGATATTAATACCAGACTAACTATTTAAAATTTCTCCTTTTTTGTATTTCTGTAATTCATTTATTTATTTTTGGTTTAATAATATAACGTTTTATAAAGATAATAATTAAATATTATGTTAAAACTCAATGATTATCCTAATTATATTTTAGATTTTTCATATTCAAAATGAGATGTTTATCCTGTATTTGATTATGTTTATCTGCAGTTAGTTACACGAATTCAGATATAAAGCTTTAATAAGTTGTATTTACGCATAATCTACTTGTAATCTTGAGTTTTAAGTAATATACATTAATAAACAGTTCTTTACGCAGGAGCTTTTGAATATATTATTTTTTAATTATGACCCGTAATTATTTCATTAAATAGTATTTAATTAATATTAAAAATATATATTAAGTAGTAAAATTGATGATGAAGATGGTAATAATTGCAAGATGAGTTATTGATAGGGCAGGGAAGGAGAAGATAATGGAGACCGAATTATATGGTTTATATGAATGTGTTTGCTTGTGGAATAAGTTACCATCATTTGGTCACAAATTCCCATGTGATTTGTTATTATTTTGGGTCTTTATTAGTTTTTGTGCACAATTAATTGAATCAACACTATACTTGTCGACTTGGAGACAAATAGAGACAAAAATTCATAATCCGAACGAAGTCAAATCAAGTTAAAATTATCGGGTTTTTAAGGATTGAACATCAAGTCAAATCAATCGTTAAAGTTTAATTCAGTTTTATTTTTGTCTTTTATTTGGTTTAAAAGTTAACTAAAAAATACTTGTAGAATGCAGCAATATACATCTTGATTTTATTGTTTGTTTTTATTCTTTGTCTATTGATATAATACACTTTTATATGGTTTTGAGAAAGTGATAATGTTTTTATTTTTGAATAAAAATATGGTAATTAATTTTTTTTTAAATATCGATATTAGTATTAAATTAACTATTTAAAATTTCTCATTTTTTGTGTAATTTCTTTGATTCAATTTTTTTATTATAATTTAATTTAGGTCTAATAATGAATCAATTTATTTTTTATTTAATAATATAACTTTTTATAAAGATAGTAATTAAGTATTCTATTAGAACTTAACGATTATCCTAATTATATTTTAGATTTTTTATATTTAAAATGTGATGTTTATCTTGTATATGATTATGTTTAACTGCAGTTAGTTACATAAATTCAAAAATAGAGGTTTAATAAGTTGCACTTATGCACATTTTACTTGTAATCCTGAATTTTAAGTAACATGCATCAATAAATAATACTTCATGCATAAAAAAATGGTTTTTAAAAGTTTTTATCAAATACTTTATAATATAGTATAGATGTTTTTTAAAGTTTTCTAAAATTATTTTAATAAAAAACTCAAAACTACCAAACATAGTGGGTTCAAGTGTGGTTTCAGTTAGATTCTTCGGGTGTTGTTGGTCCCACTCGAGTTTTTTACACTTTTAAAACGTGTGATCGGTGAGAAGTGAAATTATGATAACAAGTATAAGAGAAATGCTTCATGTTTGAATCAGTCTTAATTGAATGTCAATACTAATAATGTGCACCTCAGTGCACCGAATTAATCCCCTTCTAAAACATAATTCATGAATAAACATGAGATTAAAAGTGATAAAAGATTCAGATCCCTCTACATTTTTAAACAGTTCTAATAATAATTTTGTACTTATAAATATTATTAGAAATCTATGAATTAAAAAAATAAAAATTGCGAATCTTGGTTTATTTCGGGACACGTATTATAATTGGTTTTAAAATTAAATGAATAAAAGCGAATGCTTAATTTTAGGGGGTGTTTGGGATTGCTTATAGAAACAATTTATTGGCTTATTCAGGTGTGACATCGGTAATAAGCATTTTTAAGTGTTTGGATAAACAACTTATACGGTGTCAAACCGTTAATAAGAAGTTTTTGAAGAAGTTAAACTCTTCTGACTTATAATAAGTTGATAAGTGATTTTGTAGAAAAACATAAGTTGTTTCAAATAAACAATCCCAAACACCCCCGTAATATAATATAATATAATTCTCCTACTTTATTTACTTACCTACCATGTGGCTTATCTTTATTTTTTAATTAATATATATATATATATATATATATATATATATATATATATATATTATCGTGTGAAACAATGATTCGAGGGTTACAAAATCATTCAAATAAATAATTTAAATGTGTAGCACAAATATCTTATTTATAAACCTATCAATAATTGGCATCTCAACTTTCATCATCTACATTATATATATGTATATGTATATTCTCAACCTTTGGATTTATATCTACAATCTAAACATTCATAATCAAAAAATTGTCTCAAAATTTCTCAATAATTATAAAATTGTCACCATGTAACTTTAAACCATTAGCTTATAAAGTTGATCAATAAACATAAATTGCTCTTACGGGTCTCACGAAAAACCTTTGTCTCACGTGGACCCAACCCTGTATGTGTATGTTTATGTATATGTATATGTATGTATATATATAGGGTTGGGTTTATATGAGACGGGTTTGTTTTCGTGAGACTAATTTTTTACACTTGAAACTTCACAGCAAAACACTGTGAATATAAAAAAAAACCGAACCTTCATAGCCAAAACACTGTGAATATTACCTTCACAGCGTTTTGCTGTGAATGTTACCTTCACAACGTTTTGCTGTAAAGTTTCAAGTGTAGGAAAATGATCTCATGATTCTCATGAAAACAAGTTGGTCTCACGCAATGCTAAGTCTATATATATATACATATATATATACATATCATTTTTTTAAAACTATTTAAATCATGAGATATCTGGAAAAAAATCAGTATATCATGCATAATTTAATATGATTTTTTTTATCTATGACTAGAATTTAATATAATAGTTGATATATATTTATTTCACAAATACTCAGTTCACAATACACACACACACATACATATCTTTTTCTTTAAACTATTTAAATCATGAGATATCTGAAAAGATCAGTGTATCATGCATAATTTAGTATGGTTTTTTTTTATCTATGACTAGAACTTAATACAGTAGTTGACATACATTTATTTCACAAGTACTCATTTTACAATACTAGTCTTTTTGGCGTGTTTGTAAAACAAAAAATACATATAAAAAGTTTTGCATTGTGAACCGAATACATATGAAACAAATATATTGTAAAACAAATATATGTTAATCAATACATTAAATATTATACTTAGACGAAGAAAAATTTATGTGAAACAAAACCTTAAAGGTAAAAGTTCTCACGTATCTGTAAATTTTAAACTTTTCAAATGATTAAACGCTTATATATTTATATAATCCCAAATTGACAAAAAAAATTATGTGTGAGAAATAGATACAACCCACAAAAAATAAGTGGTTCTGATTTCGGTTCTAGTTTATATTCGTTGATGGAGTCTTACGTCGATGTTTGTTTTAGATGTCGGAGTGACAATGACTTTGAAAAGCATTTGAGGGACTTGATTTCTTTTGACAAATACAAAAAATTTGTTAGTAAAAAGACAGAAGAACACAAAAAATACCAGAAAAATGGAAAGAATTCTACAAGAAATAGAAAACCATCAAACGTCCCAACGACCACAAAACATAAAAGACAAAAACTCAAGTAACAATTAGTTTACTGGGTTTTTGTATTTATTATGTATCATGAGCCTTCTTTAACTATTCAACACTCTTATTTCATTGTAAACAATTACCAAACAATTGTATTGCATTTTGCAATATATTATGAGAGCCTCTTAATCATTATGCATCAAATCATTCAGCAAATGTCAAACAACTCCTTAAATGTGCACGTTTCTATTTATGTTTGTTTCAACATTAGTGTCCATTTAAAAATTAGATGAACAAATTCTTAAATTTATCTCTAATTAATGCACGCATATTTAAGAATTAAAAAAAAATATGTCATTTGATTAACAAAAAATACAGTAATTATAAATACTAAGGGGTTGTTTATTTACCTCTTAATAGTTCCATTTAGAGGCAACATCTGAATCGTTAAGAGGTGAATCTTGTTTGATAAAAAAAAGTATGTCTCTTAATGGTTCTACAACCTTCTGAATGATTTTGTATTTTGAATCTTCCTTAATCATTAAGAGCCCTAATTTCATTGTACACAATTACTAAATAATTATATTTTATTTTATACAATATTATAAAAATCTTTTAATCATTCTGACTACTTAATTATTTTACAACAAATTATTTAACAATTGTCAAAGAGTCTCTAAAACTGTATACCATTTAAATCGTGAACACTTGTTCTAATAGATTCTAATAATTTTTTGTTGGTCCAAGAACCTACGTCAGGTATGCTCTAAGACCAAAAGGATAAGTAGGGGCCCACCCGCCAACCAATTAGATATCGTTTTGCACTAGATCCAAAAAATGGTATTCCTACCACTTATATCCATGGGACCCACCCCAAATCCTTAGATTTACTTTTTTTACTAAAATTGATTCCATATTTTTTAAATGGTTAAATTGTACGAAAAATTAATATATTTTAACTTGATTTTTATTTTGGGAAACGTACATTCAAAATTTTTATTTTGATACATAAAATATATAGTTTTAAATATTTAAGTATTCCAGTAACCGGTTGAAACATTAACTGATTACAATGTTGATGTGACGTGTGACGAGTTGGGTTGAATAACAAATAATACTGAGTTACACACCAAATCACTCGTTACATCAGCATGGTAACTGGTATTAACAGGTTACCCGGATACTTAATTGTTTAAAACTTTACATCTTATGTACTAAAATGAAAGTTTTAAAGTACGTTCATCAAAATAGGAATCAATTTAAAGTACATTATTTTTTTAATGCAATTTGCCCTTTTTAAATATAAATATAATCTAAAATCATAATTGATCAATTTAGGTATTGTTTAATAAGGTTAAGTTATGGTGAGAACAGAAGTTATTTTGAGAAGAGTAAGAAATATCTCTACCCTTGTATCAATTCTAATTGAAGATCAACACTAATGCAGTGTACCGAGATTCACCGCATCAATTCTCATGATAAACGCAATTCAGGGGTGGGTATAAGATTAAAAGTGATTAAGGGTCTAAATTCCTTTTTATACTCATATTCTCACACGATACTTCGTTTTGTTTAATATTATTTGTTATACAAATATAACAAACATGTATAGAGAATTAGAGAGAGTTTTAAACATAAATCATGTCATTTGTATATTTAATAAAAATCAATCCCAACCATCCATCTATTCTAATGAATATCTGGTTTTATAAATATTCCGACTGTTTTATAATATAAAGTGTTTATAATTATTACTGAACTGTAATAATCTTTTATAAATATTTAAATCATAATAAATAAACTCGTATCATTTATGTAAATCTTTTAGATAATTGTTTATATCTGATTTATGAATCATAATTTATTATAAATATACAAAATTTTGTAACTTCTTAAACAATAAGAATTTATGTGTCTATGAATGTTTTATTCACCATTTATTTGAAGAAAAAACCAAATAAAATAGAAAATCTGTACCATTAATTACTAGGCATGGCAATGGGGCAGGGATGGGGCGGGTTTTGTAATCCCGGCCCCACTTTGTAGTAACATCGCCCATCCCCGGTCCCTGACGGATACGGGGATTAACATCTCGTCCCTTGTCAAACCTCTATCAATCCTCAGTCAAACACCGGTCAATCCCCATTAATAATATTCATTAGTTTGATTCTACCAGGGATCCCCGACCTCGGTTTGAGTAACATCTCCCGGGCCCGGTTTGAGTCTACCGGGGATCCCAGGGAGCAACTTTAGCGGGGAATCCCAATCCCGTTTCTGGTCGAATGAACCGGGTTTCCCACCGGGTTGGGGTAAATCACCATCCCTATTAACTACCAACATTCATTACTTAAATATGTTAGTCTTTAAGGTGTAGCTTAGTTGACAAAGAAATAAAATGACTTTATCTAAATCCAAGATAACTCTTGGGTTCAATTCCGACACCCCCCCCCCTCCACTAGCCTTGGCCGTTGATTGAATCAAAAAATATTCTCTCACATTGGTGTCATTGGAGGGAGGTGTAAGATCCCATATTGGTTTAGGATTGGCACAAAAGTTGCACTATAAGGGACTTGATATCTTATCATCTCGTATGTTTTAAAATCGTGAGTCCAAATGTATAAGCAAAGTAAATAATATTTGGTATGGTTGTTTTGGACGCCGGACTCTCAAAGGATTATCTTATAAGGAACTTGATACCTTATCTATCAGTGAACAAATCGGAGACTAGTTGAGATTGTTGGTATTGAGCTTTTTGTTAATATTAAAAATGATTTTAAGTTTTTGTATATGCAACTTGAATGTAGTATCCAGAAGCTTCTTTAGTTCTTGAACTCAAACCGTGGGCGTATACCATTAAAAGGGAACTTTCCCAAAGGAGAAAGACCAGCAACTGATCTAAGATTTTCTGGCAAACTGTCATTTTTCTTTCATCAATTTCCTTTCTGTCTTCTACGTCTACCTGAACGGATCTTCAAACCCCCAAATCTTCCTTAGATTTCCCCCTTTTGTTTTCATGCGGTCCAAATGTTTGACCTTTTGTCTCAACGAATTTTCTTGATTCTTTCTGGGTTTACTGCAAAATTTCATGAACCGATTTGATAATCATAAAAACGATTAAGAACTTTTCTGGTGAATGATACTGATTTGATTTGGGTTTTTGGGTTTTGTGGTTTACTGTAAAATTCGATGAGTCCATTTGATGAGATTTGATTGAAAAGATTGTGATTCTATAGAGAAGTTTGTTTAATTTAAGAGGATTTGACCATGAATCATTTCTATCCAGTTGTTAAGGAAGAATACCCTTCAGCTGTATCCAGTGCTGATCAGCCTGTGATGGCAGACATGCCACAGCCAATGGAGGGTTTACATGATGCTGGACCTCCACCTTTCTTGACAAAAATATATGAAATGGTGGATGATCAAAGTATGGATCACATTGTTTCTTGGAGTAGAGAAGGTCAAAGCTTTGTTGTTTGGGATCCACATGCTTTTTCTACTAATCTCCTCCCACGATACTTCAAGCACAACAATTTCTCTAGCTTTGTGAGGCAGCTCAATACTTATGTAAGTCTCTTATCTTTCAATTAATTGTTAGTTGAATTTAGTTCATGGGGTTTTCTTGAATTTGATGATGCTAGCTACCCACTATGATATAGGTGAAAGTATATAAGTTTTTGGAGTTCTCTTGAATTGAATTTAGGCCTCCAAGAACATATTAGAGATTTCCCATTTGAGTCAGGATTCAGTAAATGTCGAACAGTTTGTGTTTTTGGTCTTCTTTCCTCAAGTTCCCCCTTTCTAAAGCTGCTTGTTGGTTAAAAGTTACCGATTTTCTGTTGTCTACACTGTTAGAGTCCCATATCAGTAGACTGGACCAGGACGGGCTCACTGTGGTGCATATTACTCTTAAAAGAATTTAGGGTCATGAAAGTGTCACAGTTTATACCTTGAAACTACAACAATATCACAAGTTTCTCTTGACATAGTTGGTTTGCTAGTCTTTTCTCCCCTTCCAGGTGTCCGTCCGAATCTCATTTGTATCGTTTTCTTGGTTTTTAGCTTTTTATTTCAGGTTTATTATGTTTCTGAAATTTTTTTGGGATAAAAGACTCGAATACAAGACTTTATATACAAAAAGGAAGGAACTAACCAAAAGACCAATGATGATTTTGTACATAGCTTCGTTTTCTTATAGTGATATGGTGCCACCACTTGAAAAAAATTCTTAGGTCCGTCTTTGGACCAATCATTTCTTCCCTATATACGTTGGAACCTCCATTCTCTTTCTTAAAGGCTCGTTTTAGAGAGTGTTTTAATGGGGTTCCATATATTCTCACATACATGGTCGAAAAATAAAGTATGATCCAAGTTGTTAAGAGTTCTAGCATATCTTTAGAGGAGGAATAATCGAAGTAACATTGGTTTATCTCATTTAGCAAGTAGATTTATGATCCTTAATGCGGTTGAAACTTGTTAGTTTCAGAACTTTGTTTTTTGAATTCAGGGTTTTAGAAAGATCGATCCGGATTTATGGGAATTTGCAAATGAAGGGTTTTTGAGGGGCCAAAGGCACATGTTGAAGAACATTAAACGCCGAAAAACTCCTCCTCAGGCTCTGGTGCCACAACAAGCCACAGCTCCATGCAGGGATCATGGAAAACTACGAATAGACAATGAAGTCAAACGTTTGAAACGTGACAAACAGATTCTTATGATGGAATTAGTGAGGCTTAGACAACAGCAGCAAAATACGAGGTCCCACCTTCAAGCGATGGAGCTGAGACTACAAGGAACCGAGAAAAAGCAGCAAAAAATGATGGGGTTTTTAGCAAAAGCAATGCAAAATCCCGACTTTGTCCAGAAATTGGTCCGGCATGGTAAAAGAAAGGATCTTGAAGAAACCATCATCAAGAAAAGAAGACGCCCGATTGACCATGGTGAAGGGTCAAAGCTTATTAAAGCTGAACCTGAAGAATCTGAAATGTCTGAACTAGATGCACTTGCTTTAGAAATGCAAGGATTTGGTAGAGCCAAAAGAAATCAAGAGGAAACAGAAACACCAAATGATCTTGATGGATTTGAGGGTGGAGACAGAGAACTTGATGAAGAATTCTGGGAAGAGTTGTTCAATGAAGAATTTGGGATAACGGGAAACGAAGGCTAATAAAGTTGAAGATGCGAATTCTTCCATTTGCTAATGATTCATAATGCATCAATCATCACCTTCTTGATCTTCCACTGTTATTAAAAACTTCTATTCTTGATCTTTGTAGTTAGGTACATGAACGGATGATGATGATGATGATGAAGATATGAAGATCTTGGACAAATTCATGCTGATTACTAGTTCTGATGTTGGTTGGTTGACTTCTATCTGATTTTGTATAGAAAATCTATGCATTTTATCACTTGGGTCTTCATCTTAATTATTTTCTTGCCAATTTACAGGATACAGATTCATGAAAAGCACAAATAATGAATCCCTCAAAGAAATCCAACTTCTTTTCAGTTCTCCCATCTTCTAAATTGCTTTCTTTTCCCAGTTAAAATTTCAGTTCTGTAGATCTGATCCCTTCATATGACTCTTTATCTTGATCATTCAGATCGGAAGCATTTTCTTGGCCAGAATTCAAGTGCTTGTTTCTGAGATAACTCAAGGTTATCGTTGTTCTTTCTTGCATTCCCAACATTACTAGCCATGAGCATTCATTGATTCATTATGAAGATACCCATTGATCCATTATGAATAAGTTATGATTGTTCTTTCTTGCATTCCCATCATTACTAGCCATGAGCATTCATTGATTCATTATGAAGATACCCATGGATTCATTATGAATAAATTATATATATGCTGCCCTTAATGAAATTCATTCTTTGCAACATTATTAATGTAGATTGAAGATATGAAGATTCTTTGGCTGCAATTTGGAAGTCAGCTAACCTTAGGACTCTTGATGGCTACTTAATGGTATACTTAATTGGGTTTGTTAATTGATATGTTAATTAGTGATTAACTGATAAATGATGTATATAGAACCCATACAGTTAATAATGCCTTTGGATCGCCCTAATTCTAAATAAGTAGAGCCTATTAGAAGATGTGATACAAGACTTAGGGCCTGTTTAGTTGGTTTTCCATCAAGTCTTATGTGGATAAAGTTGTCAGTGTGGATTAATTTGTATGTAAATATTGGGAAGGTTTTTGTTTGAGAGGTTTTTTCATAGATGGAAGGGGCGTATAGTTTTGTTAGGAGGGGCATGTTTGAAAAAAAAAACGTGACTTTCTGCATAAAGCTTCCCCTAACAGCTTACTGAATAAACCACCTTTTTTATTATAGTCAGACTGTCATATTTAACCGACCGAATAAGTTGCGAGTCCCATTAAGCTCATTAAGCTGCTAACAAACGGGCCCTTAGCCAACTTATTGTGCAAGATATATATATATATATATATATATATATATATATATATCAACTTTAATCAGGATTGACCATAGCTCAAATCCAAAAAAAGGAGGGACTTAAAACTTGCTATATATGAGATATTTGTCGAGCTTATTGAAACAGTCATGTTTCGTTTGCTATAAGCTAGTGTTTCACTAAATTTCTGGGGTTTTTTCCTTCCAATTTTGCCCTTATATTTACCTAATTACATTTTTGACACATCATTTTAAGTTACTTGACATTGTCATCTTAGCTTGTCAGCTAGTTTTTTATCAAACATGACTAGTTTAGTAACTAGCTTATCAACTAGTTTTTATCAAACATTATTTAGCTTATTAGCCAATAGCTAACTTAACAGCTAACAACTAGTTTATAAGCCAATAGCTAACTTATTTATTAGGCAGTTTGTCAAACATAGCCTATATGGTTGCATCAATCATGGATTTCTGAACCATTTTGATTCGGTCTTCCATTGCAGTGAATGACCTGAAGTCATCACAAGTTATCGTAGGTGAACCTCCACCAAATTTTACGGTTTTATGATATATGACAGGAAGGAAGTTGGTTGAAATGACTCACTTTCATGTGGTTCAATGCCTGTGAGAGTTTAAAGTTGCCTTGGAAAATTGACTTTATGCAATTAATGTGATGGTCTTTCAATACATGTAAAGTTGCACCTTGACAACTCATTGTGTGTGTGATTTTGTGACTTTACTACACACATTTTAACTTCATAATTTTCACATATTTCAGTCTTTATTAATATTTTAGTTATTATTGATGTGTTCAGTATGCAGTATAGAACAAAATAAAAACTTGTTGTATCATGTTTAATGCGACAATTAGATTGAGATAAGATATAACTGAGTGGGTATATGGAGATGTAACAAGATTGGTAAATTACAAAACTACCCATGTTAAATTGAAAACTTGAGACCTCCCAATATTCTTTCACTTGCTTACCTCGTTTTTGTCAGTTCAGTGTTGTTTGTGTACCAATAGCACCCTATGAAATTGAAGTGGGTCCGGTCCTTGGTTCTATTATGAGGCTTTGGTCTTTCTTTTCTGTTGGCTTGGTTTTGCGTGTTGCAGATCTGCTTGTTTTGCTCTTAGTTTTTGTAATATTACTGCTTGTCTATTATACACAATCGATGATGATATTATTTTTGGATTTTGTTCATAAATTTTGGTTAATTCTAACAAAAACCTTCCTTTTATATAACATTTTTCAAATTAAAATTTATAGATTTTGGTTTATAATTTTTTAGATTTTAAATTTGTCAGTTTGTGTTTGAAAACCAGATGATCGACCATTTTCTCTAAAGAAAGTGACAGAAACCGAACCAACAACATCATCAAGTTGACAAGCTCAATGCAATTCAATAGAGTTTATGCCATTTTTTGTTCATCATCAGTGTCGTTTGAATTTTGTTTTTAAATGAGCAATATGTTTTTATTTTTTGAAAAAGACGTCATGTTTGGTTCGATTATAAAAAAACCAATACCCTTAGTGGCGATTGGAACTTTGTGTTCGTCATGCCCAGACTGATAAACTATTCATATCAATGGGTGTTTGGAAATGAATTAATACAATTGCAAGGCGTGACAATTTCTTTATGATGCTCGGTTTTGCTAGTTGCTTGGTTGATCTGATTTTAATTGAGCAAAGGTTAATTACCTCGATTGATCCCACCCTGTAGGAATTATATATGAAAAGACATTTCAAAGCTGACTCATAGAATCTAACAGAAGCCAGAGGGGTTCAAACTCTTCTCCTACATAATTCAATTTGAACCTGTTATCTATCCGAGTAAAGTCACTATGTCACTTTACCAACTAATCTACACATACGAAGGTTTGTGTCTTGCATTAAATATGTATCAATAATTGATCCAAAAAGTAATATGTTTAATAGTAAGAATATTGAGAAATTAGGGCATAGTTAAAATCAAAGCCTAGTAAACACCATCAATTTACCTAGAAAATAACTACAATAATTATATATATATATATATATATACACACAATATATATATATATATATACACACACAAATAATTGGTGTATTAGATTGTGAGCAAAAAGGTTTGATCGTTATCAATGGCCAAACTTGAAACAAGTTTCTTCTTCTTCCTTGTTCTTTTCCCCATCACCATTATAAATCTTTCATATGTAAGCAATCTTTTTTTCTGTAATTTATTGCGTAACATTTAGATACTAGACTCGAAATTGAGATCTGTAAGTCATTATGCAAAAATCTAATCGATTAAATAAGTCGAGCAAACAGTTAGGGTGTGTGTGTGTATATATATATATATGTATATTGTATAATGTTATTGTTGAGTGTTTCTTGATTCTTGTACTGAGATTTACGAACCTTAAAAATTAGGTGTGCATATATATATATAGTTATTGTTGAGTGTTTCTTGATTCTTGTACTGAGATATCAGACTCGAAATTGAGATCTGTAATTCATTATGCAAAAGTCTAATTGATTAAATAAGTCGAGCAAACAATAGGATATATATATATATATATATATATAATATTGTATAATGTTGTTGTTGAGTGTTTCTTGATTCTTGTACTGAGATTCAAGAATCTTAAAAATTAGGTGTACGTATATGATATATATATATATATATATATATATATATATATTGTATAATGTTATTGTTGAGTGTTTCTTGATTCTTGTACTGAGATTCAAGAATCTTAAAAATTAGGTGTACGTATATGATATATATATATATATATATATATATATTGTATATGTTATTATTGAGTGTTTCTTGATTCTTGTACCGAGATTCAAGAATCTCAAGAATTGGGTGTATGTATTTGATAAATCATTTGTGGCCCACCGCTACACTTTCTAATTAGGCTTCTTTTGACTCAATGGATCTAGAAAAAACATATTTTTTGTAACTGTTCTATTGACGTATTCACGATGATTTAAGGGATGACTCTCAAATACCAAATTCAAATTTGTGATTTCTGGACAATTTTGAACGATATGTAATCACTATAATATGTTTGATTAGACCTATGCATTTATTCAACCCGAAGCCTTTACGACTTATTTTTCGTAAAATAAAAACTTTCCCTTTTTTTTTCTCGACAAACATTTTTATGCTAATAATTATATATTTACTTCATCTCTTGTTTTTTGATTAGGCGGGAGGAGAAGGATCACTAACGGCAGCTCGTAAGTATCTATTCTCAACGTAAAGGAAAACTCGTTGTGTATTGGTTCTAATAGATGTGAATTTTACAGAATGCCCAGATGCATGTGGAGTTCGCTGTCATAAAACACATCATCGTGGAAACTGTTTGGATGCTTGTAACAGTTGCTGCAAAGCATGCTTATGTGTTCCTTCAGGGTTTGTTGGACACAAAGATGAATGCCCTTGCTATCGGGATAGGAAAACACATGATGGTAAACCTAAATGCCCTTAGGGTCATTTACCTAAATGCTCTTAGGGTCATTTATGTTTACCTACAAAGTTAAATCTACTTTTTCCTTTAAAATCAACAGCTCTCGTCTGAATAGACGATATGCAAAGGCAGATGTAATGAGCAAATCCATAGTTGTACTCGTATTGTTTATGGCACTATTAACAATATCATGTATATTTATATGTGGCTACACAACATACTGTTTTACGTACTTTTTTTTAATCCGAGAGCATCAGTGTCACGAATGATAACATATATGCCCAATCAGATCCATAACGAGACCAATTAAAAGCCTGATCCCAAGACAAGTAGATGCACATCCTTCTAGTGAACGTCAATTTCTGTTGAATACATATATGGGGTATACAAGCTAAGCAAGGTTCTGATGATGCATGAAAGACCACTCACTACAAAAAAATCAGCTTTATAGAACATTTAAATATTTCTAAATGTCTTAGTAGATGGTGTTTACAAGACTTAAGTTTATAGGATCAAACAATTATGTGTTTTTGTGTAAATGTGTTGCAATAAGTTGATAGAATCTTTTCAGGTTTCCTAACAAGTTATTTAAGACACTTTTGAAATAAAACGTTCAACGAGTCTTTTTATATGACATTATTTAAAAATCCGTCTTATAAAAAGATGTGTTCACAGGATTTTTTTTTTCAAAAGTGAACGTGACAAAATTTTTTTGTTTATGTTCTTGATAGTTGATGATTTGATGTTCTTGAAGTTTTTTTGATTGTTTATGTGTTCTTTGCATATTTTATTTATATTTAAATAAAAAATTAAATTTAAAGGTAAAAGACAAAAATACCCTTCACATCATCCTTCGCTCTGTAGAAGGTGGGTGTGTTGTTTGTTCATCCTGTTTTCAGTGAACTCGGTTGTTCCTTTTCTTTGGTTTTTTTTATGGTAGCCTTTAAAAAAAATGATAATCAAAATGGGTCATTTAACGGTTAAACATAACAACAGTTAGCGATAGAGACTCAATTCGTTGAAAATGCAATCACAAAGACCTGTTTCGTTAATTATTTAGACTAGGGACCTGATTCAATAATTTCACAAAAGCATAGGGATGAAACTTGTAATTAACTCTATTTTCAAACAAGATCTATAAGGTTCACTAGATTTTATATAAAACGGTTTAATTTTGGTC